GATGGCATCATTTCTTTCTCTCTCATACCTTTTACGTATAACCCTACATTAATGTCTTTTACATTTGGACGCGTTTATAATGGAACTTCTACAACTGGATGCGTTTATAATGAAACTTCTACAACTGAACGCGTTTATAATGAAAAATATCCTGGTTATAAAAGACTTAATGATTATTTAAAGCAATACAAAGACAAATCTTTTAGGAGTTTTTTATTTCATTGTCGAGACATGATCATTGATACTACTCCGGCTACTTCAAACTGGATAGATCTTAACAATGCATGGAAAGTACATTTCATGACTGAAGCTCAAACAATAATGAACCCAAAAGATTTTAAAATTTTAAGAGATAAGGTGTGTTGTTTTTGTTTTACAAAGTTAGAGTAACTTCTAAGAGATCGAGTGTTTGATTAGAGGAAGTACCGGGTATGACAAACTTGGTAACCACTCCATAGTTCTCTATTCGGGTACCCTAACTTTGTTAACTCTTTGCTCTTTGTTGTTGGTAAAGATAACTGATTCTGAGAGGAACCAGTTATGTATGTTTCTTTATCACTAAATAAAAATTATACACTGCTAACAAATGCTTTTTTATAACAGTTCAGTTCAGATCAAGAACGTAATGCAAAAAATTTAGAGGATTATTGGAATAAAGTTATTCATGAATGTAACATAGTGAGTAAAATCACACTTATTTTGAATTGATATAGTATGAGCTTTAATACTATTTTTTCTTATTCTTCCGAAACTAGAAATATGACATTTTAGAATACAAACGAGAGAAAGAGCATGTTATCCGTGTACTATCTGAAATAGAAGAAAAAATCAAAATGAAAGAAAATGATCTTATTAAGAGCTCAAATGAATGGAAAACGCTTATTAAAAATGGAGGTTGTAACATTATTCTGTAATTAATGAAGATTTTAGACATGCTAACAGAGTACGATTCTTCAAATCATTTTTTAGAGGATTCTAATGATAATGCCGATGGTGATGATGGTTATAATCTTAATGATAATAATGATCTTTGTGATCGTAACAATATTGGTGATAATAATGATCGTAATGAACTTGGTGATAATAATGATCGTAATGAACTTGGTTATAATAATGATCGTAATGATCTTAGTGATAATAATGATCGTAATGATCTTAGTGATAATAATGATCGTAATGATCTTGGTGATAATAATGATCGTAATGATCTTGGTGATAATAATGATCGTAATGATCTTGGTGATAATAATGATCATAATGATCTTGGTGATAATAATGATCGTAATGATCTTGGTGATAATAATGATCGTAATGATCTTGGTGATAATAATGATCATAATGATCTTGGTGATAATAATGATCGTAATGATCTTGGTGATAATAATGATCGTAATGATCTTGGTGATAATAATG